TGGGAAATATAAACTCTCTGTATCTTTTTTTATATAAAAATGTATATATATATATATGTATATATTTATATATATATATATATTCAGAATGCAGAATGCATGGCTACTTTAAATGGCCTTTTCCCTTCGTCTCACATCAGAACATGTTGGTTTGAGTTTGCGTGTATATATTTATATATATATATATATAATTTCGTCAGAATGCATGGCTACTTTAAATGGCCTTTTCCCTTCGTCTCACATCAGAACATGTTGGTTCACAAATTGAGTTTGCGTAGCACAAAGCATTTCATTCATGGACTCGTGGAAACAATAAACTGTCCAAATGTCTTTGTTTTGTCAAAGCATACTTCAGTGTCTTGTTATTTACAGTACATATATCTAGTAAAGTCAGGAAGCTCTAGATGGTGCGGTGATTTTACTGATTTTACATAGTCCTCTAAATGCAATCTGCTACCAATCACATAATTTACCACATGGCACAAGTTAATTGATCTTAACTGGTTCTGCCGCCAGTGATATTGCTTGCTTAACATTTGAATAGACTGGTTCAGTGTTTTTTGTAAGCTGGTCCTTGCAGTGTGGTATGAGAAACCCTCCACCTCCCCCAGCTCCACCTGTCTAGATCTGCTGCGGGATTTATATATGCCTATTTATGCAGCAGCAGCAGCATATCTTACATGCTCACAGTATGTGTGTCCATACTTGCTCTCATCAAGTCTGCCAAGACCAAATACCAAATGAGTTGTCATAATTGAACTACTGGTTTATTATTTTATATAATAAACTACTGGTTTATTATTCAGTTAATGCATTTACATTTAATGCAATGACATTTTTAATGCACTGACATTTTTAAAGTGATAATTCATTTTGGGGTCAGTGTTCCTACTACAAAAGCTTAACTCAATAAGTTTTAATGGCACTAATGAAGACTCAACTATCTCTAAGTGTGGGTCAGTTCAACGTGAGACTATGCAGGCAGAGTCTCTGTGTCTCAGGTCTCGGCATCACCTAATCAAACTAATTCACAATTTTACAAATCAGTTCAACAGGGTGATGTACATGAGTACCTGGAGACTCGGCCCTTAAGGGTCAGAACTCAATAGGCCTGATGTGTGTTAAGGAGAATGAAAACAGAAAAAGATGGCTTTTGTATTCAATGTCAAAAGCAACTGATCTACAATGGATGGAGAAGAATGAAAGACAAATAATAATAAAGAGAGAGATGCTTGCCAGGTCTGAGTAGCATCCACTGGGGTACTACTGGAAGAGTTCCTTACCCTCCAGTGCACATTGGGAAATTTAGTAATATTATTCTTCTTTAAGGCTGAGTGGAGAGGAAACAAAAATGGAGGTTAGATCAGAGCAGAGTGGACCGGACGCAAGTCGCGGCACAGGGAGCCAAGCTGCCCAGGGCTCAAAGAGGAAAGGTCAAAGGCCACAGGCAGGCGCTGGAGGGTGTTACTGAAGCTCTGCTGATACTGCGGTAATGAACTCTATGACTCAAGCTGCTCTGCACAATGGCTCCAGCGTCCAGATACAACAAAGTGACATCTGTTTGGTCACTTCATGTTTAAACAGTGAAACCAATGACGATGTGTCAAGCCTCCCAGAAGTGCATTGTTATAGGCCAGGACGAACAGTAAGTTAAGCGCAAGCAGTCATGGTGCATGGTGAAAACTAAAAGCAATGCTACATGAGTGAATCTCACGAAAACATGTCCTTCCAGTCAAATTTCATAACAGTAATAATACAATGTATTTTACATAAAGAGGAGGAAGCCTGTATTTAGTACTTTTTTTTTTTTAGCTGAAATATGATCTGGACATTTCTAGGCTGTTTAGGTGAGATTTAACCTTAAATTTGGCTACAGATGTAAAGCTGAATGAGAAATGTCATTCACCCCGTGCAAATGCATACATGCAGAACATGCTTATAAGAGAAAGCCATCCCAACATGCAAGTTAAACACATGTGGACACACATGGAGTCATGAGATATTAGACATTTCCCATCAAAGCAGGATAAGATGGAGGAAGAGTGAGAAAATGCAGAAAACCAGCATAATGCGAATGATTCCACAATTCAGTGACATTATATATTACATATACTCACAGTGACATGGACAAATGAACACATGAGCAAACTACAATGTCACAAACCATGCCCAACACGCCAGCATAACAAACATGATGTTTCTAATATGTTAAGCACTGTTTGAGTAATGGATCATTCTGCAATTTGTGTACGAGTATGTGTAAAAAATATGTTATTATAACAAGATAAATATAACACCAGTTACAATGTCCAATTAACTTTTAGCACATTCTGGGTTTTTACAAAACCAGAATCATCTTTTTTTTTTTTTTATGGTAAAAACTTTAGCTCGTTTTATAACTGCAGAGGGCGCTCTGAGTCAACCGATAGTACTGTCACATCTGTTTAAACCATCACAGCTGAAATGCACACAAGAGTCAATTCTAAACTCTGACGTGTTTGGGTTTTTGTGACATCATATTTCCTCTTATAACATTCATGTTACAATGATGACTTTATGATGACACACTCCATGCAAAAGAAAACTGTGTTGACAACATGTGCTTCCCTCCCCAAACCCCACTTCAAGCAGGAGTTTGGTTGGAAAAGAAAGGAAAATGAACACGCCCATGACATCCCATCCATACGCCGGCCCCCATTCAGAAGGGTCGCCCCACAGGGAAATAAAACCAGGAATGTGAAGTGTGAACGGGTGCGTGCACACACACACACAGAGAGAGAGAATGAAAGAGCAGGTTTATCCAGCGACCTTTAAGAGAGAGAGAGTCTAAGCTTTAGAAGTGGAGCTCCTCGTTGAAGTAACGCGAGCTGCGTTTGGCCGTGCGCGCAGTAAAGGGGGCAGTCTTCAGCACTGCGTCCAGACGAAACACACACATACAAACAACACGGTTTAACTGCCAGAGCAACAAGCACAATGTTAGCACTTTCTACACACAACAGCACACACTAATAATCACATGGTACTATAACAGCTATTAAATAAAGCTGAAACTATTTCAATATGGATTACATGCACGCTTAAAATAGTAATGCAGTTGTGACGAGAATTACACAAAAGGTACAAAAAATAATTATCTAATTCTGGTCTCTTAATTACTAGACTCATTACAGAGATTGTTTTGTCATGGTTAGAATTTAAATGAAAAAATGTGGTTACATTTTATTTTAAGGTGTTCTTTTTACAGTGTAATTAGAGTAATATTAATTAACTACATGTACTTACTATATGGTTAGGATTAGGGTTTGTCTTAGGGTTACTTGCATGCAATTATGCATAATTAATTGTTATTATAATAGTAAGTACATGTAACGTGTAACAAGGACACCTTAAAATAAAGTGTTACCAAAAATTCTATAAAAGGGTCATATTGAATTCATATTTACATGTAATTTTTAGAAATAATATTTTTTTTAAATGATCCTTTAGTCCACAGTGAAAAAAGAGAGCTGTCTGTCTGTCTGTCTATCTATCTATCTATTGTCTGTCTGTCTGTCTGTCTGTCTGTCTGTCTAAACAAAATACATTAAGTTATAAAATGTAAACTCTATTATTGCTCAGGTCTAATCTACTAAATGCAACTGTAAGGCATGAAGATATTTAGATATAAACACTAACATCATGATTTTCCATAAATTTGTATTGTGAAAAACACTATACAAATACAAATTTGACTTGTCAAGTGGACCTCAGGTAAAAATAAATAAATAAATACATAAAGAAAAGTATGATATGACCCCTTTAGGTCTAACAGTGAACACTAACCACACAGTGTTTAGTAGCTGTACTCCAGCTCACAGCTGTAAGCAGTAACAGCACACACACACACATTCAGCCTGGAATCACACTGGTCAGTAAATTATTATTGAGCAGTAAAGCTTTCCACCAGTCACAGAGAGCTGGTTAGTGGATCAAACTAACACGTTACAACTCTTTTTATATTTTAAAGCCCTCTGCATGCAGACCCCATCAGCAAGACATCGATTGTGTGTGTTACCTGTGATGATGTCCTCAATGGCTCCGTCTTTACCCTCATAGACGTGTCTGCTGTCCTTCACCTGCTTTTTCCTCAGCTCTGCAATCAACTCCTGCTGCTGCCGCTTATTCTTATGAGAGGGAGACTGAACACACACACATACACACACACACACACACACACACACACACACACTGTGTCACAGATCCACAATTAATGCTGAATGGGCTGTCTTTAATCTACAAACATCTACAAATGTTCCTCTAACCAGATAAATAATGTTTTTAAACACCGTCACACCTACAGAGAAAAACACCACCCTACACAGTGACAACAGGGAGGATCGGCAAAGACGCACACATGCGCTAAAAGAGGACAATAGTTATGAATTCTATAAACTAACCTAAACAGAAAACCTTCTGTATTTTTACAATAAAAAAAAAATATGTACTGTATTTTTATACTGTTGCCCCCAAAATACGGTTAAGTAGGTACATGCACACACAGGGTCCAAAATTTATTTTTGCCAATAAACAAGAAAATGAATTGGCCTTAATTTTATTTTTTACTGGCCATGAAAATAAAACTGTCTTTGATTTTTCTTACAACATTTACATTGCTGAAGGGCAGGCTATCATGAATTATGTTGCATTTAGGTTGTTAATAAAGTTACTTGCCAAGTGTTTTATTTCTCATTGTATATACTAAAACGTAACCCTAAAACAAACCCTACTATAAAGTAAACTAAAATAACAAAATTAAATTAAATAAAATACAATAAAATAAATACAATAAAATAAGATTAATTAATAGTAAAAGATTCATGAATCATTTTTCCAAACAATGACATTCCTGGATTTCGATGTAGTTACAGATTTAGCTCCCTTCAGAGGCTAGTTTTGTCCCCAAACTATAGTTAAGTAACCCACTTCCCCGACACACACCAACACACACACACGCACACACACCCACACATGCTGGTATTGGTGGTTTACGGGGACTCTCCATAGGCGTAATGGTTTTTATACTGTAAACTGTATTTTTTATCGCCCTACACCAACCCTACACCTAACCCTACCCCTCACAGGAAACTTTGTGCATATTTAGATTTTGAAAAAAAAACAAAAAAAACATTTAGTATGTTTTTTTAAGCCATTTGAATTACAGGGACACATAAAGTGTCCTCATAAACCACCTTCATATTGTAATACCTGTGTCATACCATGTCATTATACAAATTTGAGTCCTCATAGACTACCCAAACCAGTGCACACACACACACACACTCCTTTGTACCTTCTGATCCTCTTGCTCCATCATAGCTTCTTGCTCAATCAGCTTCTCCATCATCATCTGCTCCTGTCTTTTCCTCTGTTCATTATCCTCCTCTGCTTGCTGACAGAGAGAAAACACCCAGCAGTGAGGCATTTGGAAGTGATGTAACATGAGAGATCAATGGCGTTAGGGTTGGCATGACTGAAGAAAGTGAAGCAAGCGATGTAATGGTGTGATTGGATGAAGCAAAGCAGGTGATTGGTCGCTTTACCCTGTATGCTTTCACAAAGCGCACAAACACTGGGAAAAACATGGACGGGGGTGTTGTTTTGGAGTTCTCTCCAAAGAATTTCACCACTTCATCAAAGGCATCCTGAGAGAATGAGATACGAAAAGACAACATTCAGAATCACATGAAATATAATTTCACCAGTTACATTTTTAATAAAACCCCCAATCTAAAGGTGTCATATGACACAGTTTTTATTATTTCATTATTTCCCCTTTATATGAATCAAGCAGTTTAATCCAAGTCTTCTGAAGAGACAGCATTGCTTAATATGATGAACACATTTAGGATTAATTTAGGCTTTTATTCATATCTGTACATACACAGAGCTTTAAGAAAGTTGTGGAAGTTTTGATAAGCCATTTTGCAGCTTATTTTCAATATATGGTCCTGGGGAGGAAGTGTTGAGTTTAGAAAAGTATATGATGTTTTTATGATTTTATGATAATATCAAATGATAAAGGAAAACAGGATTCCTCATGATGTGACCCCTTTAACTGAGAGTGAAACAGGTTTATTGAGCAGATGTGTGTGTGCTGTGTTAGCAGCACCTGAGCGATCTTGGCATCATCCTGAAGTTTCTTGAGTTTGTTCTCATTTTGCTGTATGAAATCTCTGAGCATTGTGTTGTGGCCGTGCATGCTGTTCTCTCTCCTGGTCAGATCCATGCCTCTCTGAAGCTCCTTCACATCTAATAAGACATTCTCCAGAGACACTGAGAGAGAATTCATTTAGTTGAGATCGGTTTGAGCAAATATGATCCGCCCTGTTTATTGTAAATATAATTCAATTTGCATATGACGTTTCATACCTGCTGCAGCTTTCTCCACATAGTTCAGCTCATTATAGAAGAGTGACACCTGCTGGTATTTTTCCTTCACTACATTTGCGATATAGTGCAGAAGAGTGACCTTGCGGTCTGTCGATTTAGTGTCTAATAACTGGAACAGGAAAACATTTGAACCCTCAACTGCATGATTGTTATTACATTGTTATTAAAATATTACGCATTGTTATTACATCACAAATTAAGAAAATATTTGAATGTGGCTTTTTACTTCACAAGACGAATGAAAGAATATTGCATTACATATTCCAGAGGTACTTGGTGCATCTTACTTTCATCAGCAATTTATAAATATTATTATAATATTATTATTATTATTAAAAAAAAATGTGTTGGATTATGGATGAAGTTCAAAATCTATCATGGTGGTTTGAATGTCATATCACACTTTGCATGCTATAAATAAAAATAGTAAATGAGGGGTGTTTTTTTCTTCTGCATTCATAATTCATAAGGATTTAACTTTAACAACCAATATTTGAGTACATTTACTACGTAAAGTGTACCAGGTCTAAGCTCTGCAGTTTGAAGCCGTACACCGCTCCTCGTTTACTGCTGTTCATGTAGTTTCCCAGAGCCAAGATAATCTGAGAGAGAAACACACGCTCGATAAAGACACGCACAGTCTGGAGAAAAATGAATCAGAGCAGAAGTGAAACACTTACTTCCAGAATCTTCTTGAGTTTTTGTGAGGACTTGATAGAGACAGATGCGGCAATAACGGCGTGAAGTTGCTGTTGAGACAAAAACAAAAGACAATAATAGAACATGTACAAAAGGTCCAAATATGATAAAATTCTTCATTAAAACTAGCTACTTAAAAAAAATGAATAGAACTTTACATTAGTTTACATGACAAATACTTATACAGCATTTCTTCATCTTAGTTAATGTTAATTCAGCACTTATAAAGTATTACCAATACATAATTAATATAAAAAGTAGTTTCTGTTAATATTATATAATGAACCTGAGCTAACCTGATCTAACAATATACGGTTGTATTTTTATTAACTAACGTTAACAAAAATGAATATGTACTGTGACAAATACATCAAAAATTGTAAAGTGGGAAACATCTAAAGTGATATCATATGCACCAATTCAACTGTATGCAACAATTTATTTTTTATTTTTTTCACATATTGTAGGCTTGACTGCACTTGTCAAGCTCAGCCGTTATT